CTGTTATTTTTGCAGGCAAACGCAGAAGCCAACTTCCGCAACTCAATATCCCACAATCAGCCATTAAGTGAATAATCAATATTTTATCGGGATTATTCTTGGTCAGGGCACTGGAAAAACTGCTTTCTCTTTCAAACAGTGCCATCTTTAACGTGCATCTGAACAGGAAGGTGGGACACTAGTCATAGATTAGGAAGATAGAGAAGGAAATAGAACGGATTAATAGAAGATCACTTTTCCAGGGGTAATAATTCCTTCAAAATAAATTAAAATAATTTGTTCATTCAATCCATGACCGTTTGTGAGACACTACTGTGTGCAATTGGCTGCCGCATTTCGCCCACAAAATATAGTCAATTCACTTCACAGTATATTCTGTGAAGCGCTTTGAGACGTCTCAAAGACATGATAAGGTGCTATATCAAATGCAAGGATTATTATTATTATTATTGGAAGGGGATTGGGAGACGGGATGAGGAGGGGTGGAGGTTCCTGTGGAATATAAACACACTATTTGGGCCTAATGATCAGTTTTAGTATTGTACAATCTATGTAATTCTAAGTAAGAATTACTTTACTATCAAGTAAACAAGTTTGATCATTCCTGAATTTATACATTTACATAAATCCCGGAATATTAATTCTATAAAACACTAAATGCAGGAAGTACTTTTATCATCTTTAATTACCTAGTGTTCTTTTTAACAAGTCCTGATATATAATTCAATGTTGTGTGCCAGTAAGAGTGAAGGAAACAAAAATTTGTCATAAGATAAAAAAAGATTATCGCAAAGATGTTCGTAAAGTTGAAAGCAATAATACTCATTACTAGTAATATGAAAGCTATTTCATTAATACAGTAGTAATATCGCCCAATGATATTACCATTTTATTCGTTATAGATGCTGCAGGACGAGACAGTGAAGAGATTTTTGATTGGACATTTTGTTACAACTGTACTTACCATTTTAGCAACACATACCCATGCCCATTAGTGTCCAAAAATAAATTAATATCATTCGTATAAAGCAAGCTTGTTGAAATCGAATCATGAAAAATGGGAAAGCTATCCAGACGTAATTGGAAGGGGAGACAGGGAGCCACAGAGAGGTTGAAAACAGCCATAAAAAATAATATTAGCAACAAAAACATCAAACTGACTTCACTTTGTGGCTGTTTATCGAATACTGTAGTGTACAAATTGCTGCCATGTGTGCCTTCAAAAAAATACAGCCACTGCACTTTGCAATACTTTGAAGCACTTGTCAGTCATCCTGTGAAGCGCTTTCAGATGTCCTGCCAACATAAAAACCACTGGAGTATATCAAGTGCAAACATTGTTTAATCTAGTCAAATTCACAGAGTCAATAATAGGGAAATCCATATATAAGAACATAAGAATATTCTCGACGAAATAAGACCAAGGTCCAACCAGTTCGCCTTCCACCATCCTGGCAGTCGCTTAACGTGTCGTGTCCCGAATTATATATTGATAAGAACATAAGAATTTGCTTGGCAAAAGGAAGTATAAAATTGGCGTGAGAAAAAAATATTCAGAATCGTTGTGGTTTTTCTTTCCAAAGAATTGCGTACTGTACAGAATCGAATGACGCAGAGAAATTGCGCAGGGGAAAGAAAAAAACAGGAAATATGAAGTTGTGCAAGAAGCACCACTGAGATAATCAAATGGTTTGCAACTTGTCATTGGAAAGTTTAACTGAGGTTATGTAGGTTAGAAGCTGCAATAATACTTTGCAACGTATGCAATTTCCACATCGTAACAGCTTAGTAAACATTACTCAGTGGTTGATGTGGTTATAACATCACTGCTTCTTCGACTGTGAAAGACAAACAATTACACGTGCAATGTTTCAATTGGAATGATACTACAAGTATAACAAACAGAATTCTGCGATACTTCACTGCTCCATGAGAATGTAGGAGATTAGGAAGAGGTGGAGACCATTCAGCCCTTCGAGCGGGTTCCCCCAGTTAAATGGATCTTGGCAGATCTTTGATCCAGTCAGCCGCACATAAGCAATTGTATTTCAGTTATCAATTTAATCGTACATTTCATTCGTTAGGCATTAGCAGTGTACAGAAAATGTCATGTTATGCACGAAGAGGTCCAAGTGGTGCAGTAAGCGAAGATGATCTATCAAGCTACCGGCCCATCTCCAACCTCCCCTTCCTATCCAAGGTCCTGGAACGAGTTGTCGCCTCCCAGCTACGCTCTTTCCTCTCCAACCATTCACTATTCGAACCCCTTCAATCGGGTTTCCGTGCTGCCCATAGCACAGAAACTGCCCTGGTCAAGGTCACCAATGACATCCTGACCATCTGTGACCAGGGGTCCCTCTGCCTCCTCATCCTCCTCGACCTATCGGCAGCATTCGATACGGTCGACCATGCTATCCTCCTCCACCGCTTGTCCTCCCACCTAAACCTTCAAGGCCCTGTCCTTGAGTGGTTTAGGTCGTACCTCTCCCACCGTCTTCACTTTGTCTCCACAAATGTTTTTTCCTCCGGCCCCCGCACTGTCTCGTGCAGTGTCCCTCAAGGCTCTGTCCTCGGTCCCCTCCTCTTCACCCTCTATATGCTCCCCCTCGGTGACATCATCCGCAGACATGGGGTTAACTTCCACATGTATGCGGATGACACCCAACTCTACCTTTCCTCCTCTACCCTCAACTCCACGACCACCGATGTCCTGACAGCTGCCTGTCCGACATCGAGTCCTGGACGAGAGATAACTTTCTCCAGCTCAACGTGCGCAAAACTGAGGCCCTCCTGATTGGCTCACGTCAGCGCCTCCGCACCTCAGGCGCTGACAGCATCAGCATCCAAGGCTGCACTCTCCACCTCTCAAAGCCAGTCAGGAACCTCGGGGTTCTGTTCGACCCTGAGCTGTCCTTTCTCCCTCATATCCGCACCACAACTGGCACCGCCTTCCATCACCTCCGGAATGTCGCCAGACTACGGCACTACCTCACCCCTCACGCGGCTGAAACTCTGGTCCACGCCTTTATCACCTCAAGGCTGGACTATGGGAACTCTCTCCTCGCCGGCCTTCCCGCCACCTCCCTCCACACTGCAGGTCATTCAGAACTCTGCAGCTCGTGTACTGTCCCGCACCAGACACCGCGACCACATCACTCCCACCCTCGCTCGCCTCCACTGGCTCCCCATCCCCCAGAGGATCGAATTCAAGATCCTCACCCTCACCTACAAGGCCATTCACGGCCTCGCTCCCTCCTACCTCTCCGACCTACTATCCCCCTACGTACCTGCCCGTACCCTCCGTTCCTCTGGCTCCGGTCTGCTCCACATCCCCCGCCCCAACCGCCCTACCATCGGTGGCCGGGCCTTCAGCCTCTCAGCCCCGAGGCTCTGGAACTCCATCCCCCAGTGCCTTCGCCGCTCCTCCCTTTCCTCCTTCAAGGCCGGTCTCAAGACCTTTCTCTTTGACCTTCAGCCTTCAGCTCCCCTCTCGACTCTCTACCCCCTCCTCGCTCCCTCCCTTCCCTCCCCTCACCCTGACCATTTCCCCCCACTGCTCGGGTCCTGACCCAACTGTACAGCGCCTTGGGACGTCCTCCCGACGTGAAAGGCGCTCAATAAATGGAATCTTGTTGTTGTTGTTTGATCTCTGGAACATAGGGATTAAATCCCAGAAATCTGGAGTTTACACCTTTTTTAAAAAAAGTTGTACTGGATACAAGCTTGGGACCCAGGCACAAATCGACATTTGTTGGCACCAAACCAGCCAATAATTCAGCACAAAATGTCACAAAGCTATCAAGTACCATTTACACAGACGGGAAGGATGGCCTCAGTAGGGAAAAGAAACAGTTCACACCTGCATGCACCAGAAGGCACGCTTCTAAGAATGAATACAAGCGCATGTTATAATGGCAGAGCAGAGGGAGTTCAGCTCTGCATTTCAACAATGTGTGCTATCTGATTGGGGAGGAGTTGAAGGTGACACTGAGCCCCCAAAGCGAAAATTATTTAATTCCTAGAAGCGACACACCTCATCACGATGGACACAAAAATTCAAAGTGGATACTCCAATATTAAATCAATGAAATTTATTTTTGTGAACAACAGTTGCTGCTGGAAATAAATTCATATTGCACATACATGGCGAATTTTTTAGGGTTTTATTTTTACTGGGAGTTTACTCTTGTCCACACTCATCTCAAAAGGATTGTCAAGAGGGGCATTAAAATATATTATAATACCCAGCAGTTGAAAACAATATTCAATCCATTAAGCACTAATCTCCCATTAAGCAGATGAATATAAAACTTTGGAAAAACCTCAATGATATAATTCGGTTTCATTCTAAATCCAAGGAAGGCACAGAAACAAGATATTTGGCTAAGAGAACTAAGTGATTTAACATCAACTCGCCAGGAGGTGGCACAGATGAACAACGTTTCCCAGTGTACTTAGCAGATCCAGTTGCTGTGAGTGTGGACAAGAGCAAATAAAACACACACCGTAAACCGTAGGATTCGTGGTTTGATGTGCAATGTGAACTTTAGCTTGACGTACACACAAAAAGCAAATCTCAGTGTTCTCCTGGAAAAGGTGCCGATTTCAATTCTGTACAAGTTGATTCCAAATAAGTGACAGATTTTCATTACCCAGAAAGCGAATAGCTATAATATAATAATAATCCTTGCGTTTGATATAGAGGCTTTTCACATCTTCTAGACGTCTCAAAGCGCTTCACAGAATATTCTGTAAAGTGAATTGACTGTATATTTTGTGGGCGAAACGCGGCAGCCAATTGCGCACAGCAGTTTCCCACAAATAGACGTGGATTGAGTGACCAAATGATTATTATTTTTAAGATATTATTATCCCGGAAAAGTGATTCGCCTATCGACTAACAAACGGGTTCCTACTTTCTGCTAGTTAGGTAAAAGAGGCATGTGGAACAAGGAAACTTGCCCAACATTTCACCCTGTCTGAGAATCAAAACCAGGTTTCTCTTTTGCAAGGCGAGTGCTCTAACCACTGAGCTACAGGGCTCCGCCCTACTGTATCTAGAATGAGGAAATTAGGACAGACAACTTGCTTACTTGTCAGGAAGACATACAAAGAATTAAAAAGGAAAAACATTGACAACTTATCTGGACTGGTTAAAAATGAGGGTTCAGAACACAAGAATTCCTTCAGAAACTTAGCGGCAGTTTGAATAGCAACATGGAAAAGGAGCGAAAAAAATAAATTAAAAGAGAATAACTCTTGCAACCATTGTGAATCCTGATTCTAACCACGGTTATTAGAGTAGACGAGCTATTGGAGTATTTAAGGAGGTATTATTCTTGAAAGTTCTTACCATTATAGGGTCGTATGTTTAGCCAACAATAGAAAGAAAGTCTGATTTCATTTTCACCGAATACATAACAAAAGAATCCTATAAAATATTTAATAATTGGTTACAAAATATTTAAAACTCCACCACAAGGGAATTATTTCTTATTTACACCACAAACTAAGGAATGTTGAGTGTCCCATCATGATATTCACAGAGTCAGATACAAAGAACTTATACATAAGTCATTTCCTCCATCACCAGGGAATAATTTGAGGCTACATTTCAAAGATGACTTTTTTTTGCAGAATTTAGCACAGGTCCTCGGGTTACAATTTTCAAAAATAAACTTAAAATAAATTTCTGAAACTGGATTATTACAGTATCGTTTAATATGCCAACACGGTCGGGAAGGTACTTAATAAACATCTGATATGTTACATTTGGGGATTTTATTCTGCGTTTACTTTTTCCATAAGAAAGAATTATCGTCGAGTAGCAAAGCCAGTTTTTCATTAAACGGCCCGTAGAATTCCTCCAATATCATCCTGGTTTCTGGCAACATAGGTCCAAGGCTTTTGTCTTTGGGGCGCCTGGTGTTTGACGCTGGCTTGTTTATGATGCCTGCCTCTTCTTGCTCTGACAAGCTTCCTGTTGGCAAACAAAATGAAGCCTTAGAAAAACTCTCCTTTAATTTTTCCTTCTGAACCAAGCAAGGTTTGATCTTATTCTCCTTCAAAACAGCAGCAATAATTTTACATTGACACAGCACCTTTTATGTGAGGAGCGAAGTCGAAACGAAAGTTCCTAAGGGAGGCGTTAAAGATTGGGACGGAGGGGGCGGGAGGGAGGGAGGGAGGGAGAGAAGTTCCTGAAGCTGGGGCAGAAAAGGTATCTCCTTATTTCAATCCCCATTTTACACTATAAAATGGTTACAATTGGTCAACGTGCCAACAGTCTGAGACAGGTCTGTGGACGATCAAAACAGATTGCAGACATCTGGAGAATAATTTCATTCAAGCAGGGGGCCTCAATTGGTACTGTTACTGCAGATTCATTACATTCTTAACTCGTGTCTTGATATTCATTAATGTTTGGATGCAGGAAAATGTATCCTTTGGTTTTGGAAAATCTCAGATCGAGACATTTAAAAAGCTCAAAGCCAATGCAATAGTTTCTACAGCCACTCGAGTGCCAGTCAGAAGTCACAAAGGGGTGAAATTTGCGACATTTTGTAGCAGGATTCCATGTGATCACATCGAATGAGTTATGAAAAGCTGCTTATTTTCAGCAATTCTTAAAGAATGTCCATGAATCCAACCCCTTCCCCTCTTCAACAGATTCATCTTCTCTTTTTTAAAGAAAATCTGCCAGTATCCAAGGATTTCTCCAAACCCCACACTGTTCCAAGTTGTGGATATTAGCTTTTGAGTCCAGCTAAAAGCAGGATACCAACTTAATCCAAATACTATCCTGTGAATCAGTGCTCCAGTGCTATCTTGATGCATTTAATCCCTATCTGGCAGGCATCAATCACAAAATGTGACAACAACAACCAAATAGTATCTTGCATTTATATAGTGCATTTCACCTAGGGCAAGGTCAAGAAGGCTTTAATGCAAAATGCAAGATCGTGGAAAATTTGCTTTAAAAAGCCTGAAAAGGATAAGTTGTAGCAAGATGTCGAGAGGAACGCTATTTAACTGCATGACTATTTAATGATTTGAAATAAGTGATGTTTCACTATGTGCCACGACACAATGACAGAAACCCAGGAAAGGATTACGTATCCAGTGTCAAGAATCAGACACTAGATATTTTCAAAGAGTTTAGAGATGTGAACTATCAGTCATTTGACACAAGCAACAATCTTCCACGAGGGAACAGACAGATATAGGTGCGGGGAAAATGAGAGATGAGGGTTCATGTGGATTATAAACTCTGGCATGGAATAGTTGGGCTGAACGGTCTGTTTCTGTGTCCTATCACTCTAAGTAGTAATAATAAGATGACATTAAAATGACACACATTTATTTACTTTCACCCACAAAGTATACAGTCAATTCACTTTACAATATATTCTGTGAAGCGCTTTGAGACGTTTCGAAGACGTGATAAAGCGCTATATCAAATGCAAGGATTATTATTATTATATGATTATTACTAACAGACTGTCCGTGTTTAATCATTACAGTCTATTATCAGAGATGTGTTAGACCACTGAGAGACTGAGACAACACATCATTGATGCCGTATATATTCTTCCAGTGGTGATCAGATAAATATTCAAGGTCTGTATACGATTTCAGGAAGAAGACCAACATTCTCAAAGAGTTTTTTTTAAAATCCAACCACGAATGCCATGCCAATGTTATCCATAAAACTCACATTACTTTATTGATGAGATGCAGAAACCAGCTGAAATATTTGTAATAATAAATAATAATAATCCTAGCATTTGATGCAGAGCCTTGTCAAGTCTTTGAGAGACGTCTCAAAGTTCTTCACAGAATATACTGTAAAGTGAATTGCCTGTGTATTCTGTGGGTGTCTGTGAATGGTTTCACCCATTTTCTTCTGAACCCAAAATGATCCAAACTGGGGAATTTACAGAGAAAACAGAATGTCACCAGTTTAGGTTACAAGGTTAAGCCAACATGCATCCCTCGTATTTGTACTGTTAACCAAAAGTTCCTCCAGTTGCTTGGTTAACCTGCATTGAAGGGAAAAAGTGTTGATGGGATTGGCACAGGCTGTTGAGTGGCTAACTCCCTGATGAAGAGAAGCTTGGCTCAGAGTTGGTGTTTTTGGGACTTGAAGCCAGGTCAGGAAAAACTCTCCTGTGCCAATAAAAATCTATATTTGAGCCAAAGGCTGCTTCACGATAACAGTTAGCCCAGGAGACTACATTCAGGTAGTGAAAAAACATATTCGCTCATCAGAGCTCATGGGAATAATTCAACTTTACATTCAGTTGAAGGAAATTGGGGCTCATTCAGGATTTGATGGCTGAAAGCCAGGTGTCAGGACAACAATAGCCCTGGAGTCAAGGGTGAAATTAGAGAAGTAAGAGTTAGGTGTCATCAGGTGTCTATATAATATATATGGATCCCATGGCCCACAGAACAACAACAACAAAATTACATTAATTTCGGTGGCCTGTGGTGTGAGACAGTGGCGGAACCGGGTGATGTGGCGGAGGTGGGGGAAGGCAGAGCAGATCATGGCATGGAGTGGGGTAGAAAGGATAGTTGAGGGTCAAACAAGACACCAAGGTTCCGGACTGGCTTAGTAAGGTGGAGTGTGTATCCATGGATGGTGATGCTGTCAGTGCCTGAGGTGTGGAGTCACAAGGAGGAAACAGGTATATGAGAAATAAACAAATGAAAATCATATATACCCAAGTTCAAAAAGTCGAAGACTTTGTGCATACTGTGCTTCAGATCAGCTGCATGCTCCTCTAGTCGAAGAATGAGAAATTGGTCCCGGTTAAAAACAGAGAACCAGTCCCACAAGAAAACCACGTACAGGCCAATTTGCAATCTTACCTGTAAATAAAACAAACACCACATCACGTAACATGTCACCTGGAAAACCTTTGTTTTCTATCTAACAGTTTTACTTTCTTAGCCATGTTAACCAGCAATATGTCTGACCAATGTTCCTAGCCTGGCAAATATTTAGTTCCTAAATGAAAGCAAGTGTTAGTTCTCTTTCTGTCACTGATGATTCAGTGGCCTCACACGTAATATCATCACCAATTCTCTTTCTCAGAATCCAAAGAACTGCTGAAGTAATTTGGTTTCTGTTTGTGTCAAATATATATGCGCAATTTTTGCACAACAAAAAAGTTTCAACATAACTGAGATCGGTGCTTTCCCTACAAAAAAGCATTGCAGTCAGAGACTTAATGTTTCACCAGCACATGATATGAAAATTCTTGAAAACCAATGCTTTTCTGTTATATGTTTCTAATGCCATGAATTACAACATTTAAATCATTATTATTACTACAATAGAATTAACCCGCCCTGCCCCAAAAGTAGAACATTATCACATGTTATTCCCAGAACTCTGGAGCCACAGAAATGTATGACCCAATAGGAGGCCATTTGGCTCATTGTTCTGTGTTGGTGAAGTAGTCAAATCAACCAACTGAAAACCTCTCGTAGCTGTGGTTCACAAATATGCGACACACCACAAAGACTGAAGCACACAACTACAAAGTAAAATAACCCATATAGTGAGATAACCAATGAACCAAGTGCTAGATTGCGGGACCATGAGAAAACAGAAACAATAAGGGCATGATTCATTCAGAAATGGTATATTACATAAGGGTTGCTTACTCCTCAAGAGTAGTTGTATGATAAAACAGTACTTACGGGCAAGGCTGAGTTCACAGTGCAGTTATAGATGCAGGTTCTGAGGGAAGTGTGTATCAAGCAATTGTCAAATATTTCCAGCGATTCAGTTACCTTGTCATGAAAGTCCTCCACAGACTTGTTCCCACTTATGAAATATAAGTAATCAGAATACAGCCTAAGCAAAAATAAATCATACAAGGCAGAATTAAAGCAAGTTAACCCATTTACAATACATTTTGAACACACACGCACACAACAACAAATTACATTTGCACTTTTCACGTCAGGAGGACGTCCACAGTACAGCAATGCGATTCATCAGTGCAATTAATTTGCAATGTAATTCATTTTATTGCTCCCTCTTAAGTTTGTTTTGTAAGTCGACAAGGAATTCCAAGAGTGTTTGGAAGGTTTGCTCATGACACAGCTGGAAGTCGGAGGAAATGAATGGTAAACTTCATAGATATTAAAATGGTGATCCTGAATACAGCTGGGTTTTAAGTTGGTTTTACACTGTAATTGTGCATCAGCAAAAAAAAAGCAGACAAAGCATTTTTTTTAAGCTTATGTAGCCTTGATTGTGGAAACAAAGTGAAATTTTAATTACTCATCAAAATTTCTGCAGTTGAAGTCCCGCACATACCTTGAGCATCAGCCACAAAGAATAATTCACATCCTGTTTTCTGTTTCTCTTAATTTTATTTTGAACACTTGCTCATACTCAGAATCTTTTGGCAGGAAATACTAACAGCGTTGTTAACCGGCACAGACAAAATACTGAAGCAAATGACACATTACTGAAGCACAATCTGTAAAAGATTACATTATTTCAGCTTGCTTAAACTACTAGGCTTAGTCAACGCATAGAAATATACAACTAAATGTGTCTTAAAGTTACTCTGAATTCTTTGTAGCCCTTTATACTGGTAAGGTTTCAAAAGTGCAAGATCTGGAATTGAAAAGGGATCTGGAACTGCCGTTTTGAAGACACTGTGTGTTTGCATGAGTGGAGTTGTGCTTTTAGTACCTGTATGTTTTTTTTCCTGAGTGAGATGCATTAAATAATTTTGCATCCTTCATGCCAGGTTAGATTGCTTCCAGACAATAAAACTCCAGTTTACTTGGGGATTTGGCTCCTTCATGAAGCATCCAGTTATTGCATCATACACGCCACATTTATACTTGCATATATGAAATGATACTCAGCGTTACAGAGGAAACCATATGTAACCTATTTCATTCAACCACAAGTCCTCCAGTCAAAGGTGATTGGAACTCACGCTGGTAAAATGAGACAATTATAATAATAATCCTTGCATTTGATATACCACCTTATCACATCTTCGAGACGTCACAAAGCGCTACAAAGGTTACTGAAAAGTGAATTGACTATATTTTGTGGGCGAAACACGGCAGACAATTGCGCACAGCAGTGTCCCACAAACAGTCATGGTTTGAGTGAGTGACCAAATTTTGTATTTTATTTGAAGGGATTATTACCCCCAAAAAGCGATCCACCAATCGACTAAGAATAGGGTTCCTACTTACTGTTGGGTAAAAGAGGTGTATGGAGTAAGGAAACTTGCCCAACCGTTTCGCCCCAACCGGGAATCAAACCCAGGTCCTCTCATTAGCGAGGCGAGTCCTCTAACCACTAAGCTACAGGACTCCAATTTTCACCTATGCTGTAATGCCATGAAATCATTGATCTCTGAGTTGCTGTACCAGTACTGACTATGAATTAAAGATCTGATGTGACGATTCAAGCCACAATGTCCTGATCCAGAAGCTAGAGGGTTAAGTAGCTGAGATAAAACAACAACCTGACATTTAAACTAAATTCACACAGAGCGAGCGTGTATTGAACATTTTCTACATATATGGAATAGAAATGCTGTCAAAACTTATTTAAGAACAAAGGTATACCAGTATAGACATTGAGCAAGTTATGCACACATTACTCACTCATTCTGGTTACCCAAACCAGAGCATGAATGCTTGCGATTGCTCATAGTTTCCATGGCTGGAACACAATCAAACATGGTTGGGACACATTACACACCCAATAAATGAAGCCAACAGACTAACCTCTCAACGGGGTCTCTTAGCATAACGATAAGCTTAGCACCTGGATAAACAGCATGAAGGAAATCCTGAATTAAAAATGGAGGTTCACCATCAGCAGTTGGAGCATAGAAATTCCGCCAAGCGTTATTATCCCACATTGTGGAAGCGCTGGCCTCACCTATAAAAAGGGCAAATGAAAAATAAAAACTATTAAAGTTAGAATTGTTTTCCATACAAAATAATGGATTGAAAGACAACAGATGTGAGTTAAAGCCCGGTCTCCGGGAACAATAAAAGCAACTGGATGCGTCTGCACTTTGTAAATGCCAATTTTTATCCTGATTTGCATTCATGGGTCAATAGGCTTATTTTGGCATTGTATCACTTTCTTTGATTTGTCCATGCGGACTGTGTACTTGATATTCTTGCAGCATGCTGTACTACATTAATAACCATTGCATTTGATGTAGCAGCTTTTGTGTCAGGAGGACGTCCCAAAGCACTTTGCAGGCTCTTACAGCTAAATGCAATGACCATGTATTTTGCAAGCAAACCCAGCAACTAATCTGCAGGCTGCAGTGCCCCACCGACAGCCATGGACAATGGTTTCTGAAGGATTTTTAGCCAGGACATCAGGAGAAACTTCACTGTTTTAAGAATAATTCCCTGGGATCTAAGATGTGCACCTGAAAAAGAAGCCGGGAGCTCGCTTTAATGTCTCATCCAAAATTAAATATTTTGCCCAACGCTGTGCTCATGGTGCTTAGAGACAAAACAGTTGCAGTGGAGTGATGTGGACAGCCTATTTAGGTAAGCCCGTATTCCTGGCATCTGTGCAGCAAGGTCTTNAAAAAAATGACTCAAGCAAGCACGATCTCAAAAGATGCAGTTTCTTAGTAGGATGCTATTGATGTTTTGGATCTCAGGCTTTCAATACTGCTCTCAGGGCAACAACTTAGCTGAATCAATATTGCCTTGCAAACCTAAGAGGAGGCTCACACTTCAAACCCAGCAGCTTTGCTAAATTCTGAGTATTTTCAGCCAACGTCGGATGCTTCCAATATTCAGAAGTCGTGAGAAGGTCGGGAGAAGGAAAGGTATTTTCCTTCACAGCGCCTTGGGACGTCCTCCCGACGTGAAAGGCGCTCTATAAATGGAATCTTGTTGTTGTTGTTGTTGTATTTCAAAACACGCAGCAATTTTGATCCCAGATAACTCAATATTCTTTCTCCAAAGATACTTGGATGGACAAAAACTTAACTGCATGGCAGAGTGAGTGCAAAAAATTGTACTATGACCACACAATTGTAATTAGTGCAAAGAATCTTCAGCGAAGCTTTGTTAAAATATCACAACTCTACAATAACACTGGACTACATTGTTAATGACACTTCTGTCCATTCAGTTTATCGAAGGAAAGCATCAGTGGATTAAGGTGAAGAAGGGAAACAAAGTGTACTTTTAAAGAACTATGTAAAAATGACAGCTGTCTTTGGTTTAACAACACTTTCATTTGGCAATCCAGCAAAGGAATTGCTGGACTACAATCACGGCTTTGAAGCCACAAACAAAGACTGAATTGTTCCTATGAAATAACATCCACTCACCGCCCCCCACCCCTGCCCCTGGCCTGTATGAAAAACAAATCTCTGTTCCAAATAAAGGATCTGGTTATGCAAACCATTCCACATCCAGGGTGATCAAAAGAGCAGCAAGTATAGAGAATGACATTTCATGGACTTAAAAGCAGGAATTCACAATAGATAGATCCCTCAGCGACCAGAAAATCATTTGATATGGACTGATCCCAGAACAAGTGAATTGCCCAAATCTCGGCATGTCTAAAAGTAGGAAGCTGAGCATGAGGGAACAGAAACCACTCACCCATGTACATGATGAACTTTGTGCCAAGGAAAGGCAAAACCATTTCGAAAAATGCGTGGAGCAAACAAAAAGTGGTAACATTTAACATCTTTTTACTTTGCATCACAATCATACGTTGAACAAGGAAATGAACAAACTGGAAAATGTAACAGTGGATCTGGGCAAGAAACAATCGAGTCCCAGAAAAGCATAGATAGGTGATGAGAACAGAACCCGGGTTAAATGAGTTTCAACCAAAAAGAACCCCTCCATCCAAAAAAAGAAGCAGAATGGTGAAGATGGCAAGGGATTCCTAAATGCTCAGAACATTACAGATGCCGGTGTCACTTGGGCAACACCATACTATTATGCAGATCATCCATCAATGAGGCAAAGTGTATCTCAATTAAATAGAATTAGGAGTTTCCAATCCAAATACATTTTCAATTCACGTGGGGACGTTTTGAGACTTATTAATAATCTCCCTCAAAATGAAAGTATCTCACCAATGACCATGCTGCTGTTGATTTGCTCTTCAACAGTTGAGTTGGCTATGTGATTCTGAATCTGATGTGATGCCAGATCAAACAGATCCAGATAATCTTCTATTTGATATCGATCATGGTACCCATTCAACGGCTGAATAATGCCTGCAAGAAATCAAAAGCATCCTTCAGTATAGCAATCAACCTGTTGAATCACACATCTGCTCTTAAGGTTTTCAGTAAAGGGATTTTTCCCAAGTATGAAAATTTGCCGTTTTACATACAAGTAGTACAGAACCGAAAATCAAATATTAATAATAATAATCCTTGCATTTGATATAGCGCTTTTCACGTCGGGAGGATGACCCAAAGTGCTTCACAGAACACACTGTAAAGTGAATTGACTGTATATATTTGTGGGCGAACGCGGCAGCCAATTGCGCACAGCAATGTCCCACAAACAGTCGTAGATTGAAAAAGACCAATTTATTATTGTTTTTGGTGTTTGGAGGGATTATTATTAGGCTCTGTGTGGAGTAAGGAAACTTGCCCAAGGTTTCGCCCTGACCTGCCTGGGATTGAACTCAGGTCTGTCGCTTGCAAAGCAAGTGTTCTAACCACTGAGCTACAGGACTCCTCCATGTTTAGAGAAAGGAATCCATCTTTGAGTATTATGTCTCTGTCTCTTCATCTCAAAGGGAATTACTGTAAAGTGTAGTAACTGCATTTTGGAGCAAACATGGCAGCCCATTTTCGCACAGCAATGTCCCACAAGCAGTGAGGAATTGAATGAACAATTCAATCTGGGGGATTGTTGCCCAGGACTTCAGAAGAAACTCCATTCTCTTTCAGAGTTGTGTCATGAGATCTTTAACATCCACCTGAACAGCACTAAGCTGATGAATGATTGACTAAAGGCAAATTGCACTAGAACTATTGTACAACTTTACATAGGATACTGGCTCATAAAAAGAATTGTGAATTATACATATTCTAATTGTGAATTATACATATCACAACTGCAAGGTTCAAAGTGCTCAGGATGTGATCAAATAACTGATTTGCTTTTTTAAAGTAGGATGGAGATAATTATTTATTTTTGTAGATTGGGAGGGAGAAGGTGGCTGTGTACAGTTATTTTAAATTAAAAAAAACTTTATTTGCAAAGTCGCTAAAGTATCTTATCTGGAACACCAGTAAGAACAGGAACAGAATGCAGCATGAGTTTAGTCCGCTGTTTCCTACCTATTTCATATGAAAAAGATGCTCAGGGGAAAATGGTGGCTAATTAAGAAGTTTAAAAGACAAAAGGCTTCCAATATTAATATAACCGTCCATACATTTGCTGAGTTTAATCAGAAGATTAGAGTTTTGTGAAATTAGACCATAATGACTAGTTATGTCCTACCTAATTGCTATTACTGGGCCTACACCCGTTTGCCAAACATCTAGTTTCACTTCAGTCTCTGTTGCTGGAGGCGTCCCACAAAACAAGATCTGCCCAAAGGCTTTAGGGACAGTAAAATATTTTCTTCCAACCAAATGAGAAGTGACTCATTGCATCCAGTTTTCAAGCGGTCAAAGGGTCAATTGAAAAAATGTAAAATTAAGCAGCCCAGTCTTTCAGAATTCCTCATAACAAGACATTCAGACAGCTTGATGACATCAGTGTACATACCAGGGAGTAAAAATCTGCCAAAGCAAAGTCAGAATCAATGGAAAAGCAACCCAGGAACTGCCTCAGTCTTGTTTCGAGCACTCCGTTAGAGATCTCGTGTTTAAAAATAAACTTGGACAAATAATTCAACTTCACCACTTTTGTTGTCTTTTGACAATGTTCCACTGGGTTTCTGGCTGGATTTTTACAAATCTTAGATTAGTCCAGATCTTCTGGTCAACCACTATTGTCAATAGGTGTGGAAAAGTTTATGCTAGTAACTAAAATTAATCCAAGGGTGTCACTTTAAACTACTTGAAACTCACTTCCATAACCTTTTATAATAATTAATTTACAGTATAATCAGTCTTCCCTGCATTTTCCCCTTCAGTTTACCCAAATGCTCTGCTCCTGTCAAGTATTGCCCCTGGCCAGACAAATAATGCTCTGTGTCTGCACTTCTTAGTATAAACAATTACTGTTTATGAGGCCTCATAGAGTGAAAGAATTACATGGACTGGAACAACACCGCAACGGTCCATGTCAGTGTTTATACTACACATAACCCTTCTAATTCCTCCTCTCTATCTCTTACCCCTCTATTCCCTTCTCCCTCAAGTTGCATTGAGTTTCTTCTTAAATGCTTCAAACTTCAAAATCTCACCCAAGGCCACATGGAAGATATGGAATTATCAGATGTACAGGGGGACTAAAGATCTCAGAACTGCTAAAGTCATACGCTATTTAGAAACCCTTCATTCAAGGAACAAATTTCACGGAACAATTACACGGTACATCAAACTTAAGGAAGATCATTTGGAAAACATCAAAGTACTCTTCATCTACCAAAAGTCATTAAATCATTTTAATGAGGACAAAATACCCAATAGAGCCTAATTAGAGGCACTTAATACTCCTCGTCATTCCATATTCCGGTGGTTGTCACTCCACTGCAGACATTGGCCATGATATTCGTCGTTCACCAAGTAACAAGTGAATTCAAACATTACAGGGAAGCACAACATCAGAACTTCCCATAATCTATCATGGAGCTGCTTTACTATTTCAGCTGCGACTCAGTAGGGCAGTCAATAGTTAAGAAAATAAGTCTTATATCATGGCTTTATCTGTTTTAATATCTTGCCTGTGGATGAGATTCAGGGACATTCTCATGAGCTGTTGAAGTGTATGGCACAATCCTTTGTGTAGCACTCGGAGCTTAAAATACATCTCTGGACAAATTATTGAAATATTCTGCATTTGCCCCTGATTGTGCTGGTTGTGGTGAGGTGGGAGTGGCAGCAGAGTTGTCCTAGTTCCAGCAGATGACTAAATTCCCCAAATTAGAGACTATGGAATAACCTACATTTAGCCCACAGCTTGTACACCCATATTTGCAGTGTAAATATAGAATAATAGGTGGGTTTCAAGGGACTTGAGAAGCAATTATTCCAAGGAATCAGATTCCGCCGTTAAGCTATACAAATGGCTTGTACAAATATAAAAATGTACATGTGTGTTTTCCCCTCCTCTGGATTCCTGTGACATCACAAAATCAGGAGATTAACATGCCACCAAGACTTTATATTCGGGTTCCAACCTGACCACTACTTGGTGTGCATCAAAAACAAAATAACCAGCACAAATTGACTGCTTTCCCTCCAAAGTGTGGGGGCATTGATACTGTGAAGTGAAAAAAGTTAGGTTTCATAACAGCTTCAACCTGATATAACATTGTATATTTTTCCACCCACTCACAGGTGTTAACCCCAAGCCCCTTCCCTTCCCCCATCGACACAATGGTTTAATCCCAAAAGATGGTTCCAAGATTGAGACAACAACTTCGGCCATGGCAATCATCACCATTGTGAAGTGATGCAGGGGAGGTGGTGAAAGAGATGCATATACTGAGTCGCAATGCTACCTTTACCCTCTGCAAACTGGTGTTGGTATATTAGTTTCAAGTTTCGGTTTACAAATTAAAAGGCTCGTGAGCAAAATTCCCGTCACATTTTCACGCTTGTGATCGCGCAAGTATGAACGTAGCAATGAGTGAAATAAAATGGCATTTTATAAATGATAATAGTAACCCCCTGCATTTGATATACCACCTTATCACATTGTTAAGACTCACGTCGATTTTTTACTCGCGTTTCAGGAAACACAAGGAAAACGAATGTCTCTGCCACTTACCAAACCTTTTTCTTGTCCACCAGTGAGGCTCTTTGACAATGGAAAAGCTAATATCTGGGTGCAACCTGAGTCTATTGTAGAGATCTGTGGTCCCACATTTTGGCTGCCCTATAATGTAGAAATAGGGAAGGCAGCGCAGGCGATAGTGCTGATCACCACGGTGTTGCAAGTGTTTCCAAATTATCTTCCTTAAGTAGTCAAATACAGTTTGGAAATGCCTCGTGTGTTTAAAGTATGCATTATTCTTGTAAGGATCCATGGATGCGGTTCCTGTGTATTTTCCATACCAACAAGGGTTCTTGACATTTTGAAGAAATGTCTTTGGAATGATAGAGAACATCTGCAATGTAAAAAATATACACATATTGAAGGGATCCAAGGTGTTGGTTGAATTCTATAACTATGAAAATATGCATATGAATTCTCAAATGTATTAGCATTAATGGTGTAAACTTCTCCCAATGGTCAAGTGGTTAAAGCAACCACCCAGGGAACATTTATCAATACACACTCGAACCAGTCCAGTCCACAGAAGCATTAGCATCAAGCTACCTATTGAGTCTTTAACACTGCACAGGAGACAAACTGGAGGCAATACGACTTGGTCAATTGATGAAGTGCACTATTCAACCCATGAACAGCGTTTGTCAGAATGATATGAATCATGTGAAAACAGATTCAAATCAAAATAAATGGAAAAAAAGCAACAAAAAGATCGAATCTGGTGTCAGCCAGATCCAGGAAGAGATACAATATTAGATGGCACATCAAGACTACTCAGAAAGGCTTGCTCACATTTCAGTGAATGGAGTATATCAAAGGCCGATGTTGCCTTTCACTATCAAGCATGTCACCAGAGTAGTAAAGAGCTGGATCTCGGTGATCCTCCAAATTCTAAATTACAGTAAAAAAAATGACAACAATAATCAGATTTTTTTTAAAAAAACTTGTCAATAACTTGAATGTCCATTTGCCACAAAGACTTTCCTTCTCTTTTTAAAAGGCATTATTCTCATGACTGCCGTGGTTCAGCACAGACAAGAAATGGAACTGGAGACTATGTCATCAGAAGAGCTTGCAAACAACCTCAAGTACATTCAAATCTAAAGATATACAGGAGGTAGAAATAGCAACTCTGTTCAGTAATTGATCTGCTTAGTCATCAGGGGTTCAATTTTGTAGACTTGTTAATTAAGAAATTTGAGTTAAGACTTTTTCCAAAAAAAACAAAGTGTTTCACACACGCCTTGTCAACACAAAGGAACTCGGAAAAAATCAAAGCAGACTGCCCATGAGACGACGTCATGTAGCTCCCGTTTCCTTCTTAAGGAATCCCATTAATAGCCCAAAATTGACTATGAGGAGTGTTGATAACAAAGTGCTGGCAAGTAAGGCTTTGCACAAATGTTATGCTTCATTTCACCCTAATGTAATTTTAATGTTGGCTGGCTGACTGGCACATCACGTGAAAGTCGTTTTTCAGTGTCTGGAACAGACAAGTCAGTCGTACGAACTGAGCACTATATTTTGCCCAATAAAATGACCATAAAAATAGTAACTAGATGAGGTAGAACTGTCCAGACACTGTGCATGATATTTGTCGAGATTAAAGGCCTGAAAAGCAAGATTTTTAAATTACATGAAGATGCCATTTAAATACAAACAATTATTTATAAAATAGGAAAACAAAACTGTAGAAATAGTATATGCTTATTTATAACCACACGGAAATCATTACAGACAAATTACATCAAATATTCCAACTCACATGTGCCTCTTGTTTAATAAGATCATCGGTCTTTGGCAGTCTTCTTGGCATAAGCTTGAGTTTGGAATCTTTTGTTTCAATGAGAAGTTCAGATTTGGAATAAGCAGTTCTTTCTAAATGATTAAATAATGAGGCAAGTCGATTGGTTTCACTCTTAATGTCTGCAGAGACTAAGCCTGGAAATCCTTGGCTATTCATTACTATGCTGTGCTGGAATGGGGATGGAGTCAGCAGCAATTTCTGTTGGTCTCTAGTCAAGATGTAAGACGCCATTACTAAGGACAGGATTATTACACCCAGGAAGAGGGTGCCCAGTTTTGCCCTCCAAGCAAAAATGTGTCCACTCCATCTAAACTGACGTTCCCCTTTCACCTCCAGTGTTGCAAGTAGGTTCATTGGTTGCTGGTCAGCCTCGTAAAATAACAAAGGAGGCTTCTTTAAGGAGGCTCTAGTATCAAAGATGGATGAAGCAAATCTGTTGCTTGTGTGATCAGTCCCTGAATGCATTTTACCTCATCATCTGGTTCGGAGTGGTAAAGTGATAGTACACAGCAGTTGTGTAATCGAAAACTACATCTTCAACCGATTTTGTTGACCACTTGTTGCAAGCCGGAGCATTAAGGATGAAAATGTCAAACCACAGTCGATGGGGAATCACGTCACAGATGTACTATAAGCCACATAGAAGCTGCAACTCAGTGACAGTAGTCCATCTGCTTCAAGCGATCCTATAGAGAGAGGAAAATAATGCAATAAATCTAAATGATAGCTATATTTTTAAAATTATATTTTCCACTCTTCGCAGGATTAGAAAACTAAGAAATTATACATGTTTGATCACTATGGGGTTCTGCTGTGACAATTAGTAGCAAACTTTACCATACCACAAATGTCTTTAGACTGTACCCAATGTTTGCTGACTGTATAATGTGCCTCAACATGAAACCTCACACGATTTGCGGTCATTACTGGATAGTATACTCCCAAATGTGAGTAAAGTCTTATTTCCATAACTTGTACTGTTTTAGAAACTCTCTGCCGCAAATCCTAATAAGAACTATAACAAAAATATCGGATTAGAATGTAGCAGGTAATTAACATCAGTAAACAAACAAATCCTAATGTAATTTTGATAACATAATCATTTTACACTGAACAACTGTGTGTAGAGTTTGAAATGACTTAAATCAAGTGCACTTGAGATAGACTCATTCACCCTCCCTCACCCTCACTCCTTGTCTGGGAGAAAAGTAATTCCCACCAAATATATATCAACGCCTCCATTATTGTTGCATGCTACTATCAGGATGGTAGAAGGAGGACTACATGGGCTTTGGTCTTTTTTCGTCTAGCAATTCCTACATTCCTATGTCAGGCGCCATATCAAATGCAAGGATTATTATTTTTATTATCTACCGTATTCGAAAGGATAAGACACTTACCATGCACACTTAAAATATGTGTCTTTTTTATATAGAGCAAGCCTATAACCAATAAACTTATTGATGCATCAATTCACCTTGCATATTATAAACAGCCACTTACTGCAACAATTAATCTAATGCTCCACTAACACAGTCATATCTCCTGAAACAAGAGCATCTTACTTTAAGAAATCCATTCACTTCATGTTGTCAGTGCTGTGAATAGCATGACTGACAGCATCAGTTATCCCAGCAGTGTACAAATGCCATCAACCCAATGTGCAATAAAATGACTTTGCTCACTACCCAAAGCCATGCTGTGTTGTACATACACGTATGTACATATATGTCCTTGAGAAATGGATCAACTTCAATATAATCTATACAATGGAAAAACATTTGGAAGTAGAATTTAGTGAAATGGTAAAATTTCTATTCAACATAGCAAGGCTTCTGTTCAAATTGTAATGGTTCAGTGCCAATGCTTTTATTTCTATGTATTTCTTAAAGGGACAAGTAACTTTAGGAATGTTGGTTATTGTTCTTAAACCTCTCCACCGTCCACGAACTGGTGGGACCTCTTTTCGGCAGAGACTCACTAATCAGAGGCCGGGTCTCTTCATCTGGAAGAAACATTTCGAAAGGTTGTCTCCTAGTCGGGGAGCGGCAGCAGGACAGCGCGGGGAGGAGCCTGGGCCTACTGACCCAGGTACTTAAACTCGACGCCGGAGCGAGTGCAGCCAGTCGGGGAGCGGCAGCAGGACAGCGCGGGGAGGAGCCTGGGCCTACTGACCCAGGTACTTAAACTCGACGCCGGAGCGAGTGCAGCCAGTCGGGGAGCGGCAGCAGGACAGCGCGGGGAGGAGCCTGGGCCTACTGACCCAGGTACTTAAACTCGACGCCGGAGCGAGTGCAGCCAGTCGGGGAGCGGCAGCAGGACAGCGCGGGGAGGAGCCTGGGCCTACTGACCCAGGTACTTAAACTCGACGCCGGAGCGAGTGCAGCCAGTCGGGGAGCGGCAGCAGGACAGCGCGGGGAGGAGCCTGGGCCTACTGACCCAGGTACTTAAACTCGACGCCGGAGCGAGTGCAGCCAGTCGGGGAGCGGCAGCAGGACAGCGCGGGGAGGAGCCTGGGCCTACTGACCCAGGTACTTAAACTCGACGCCGGAGCGAGTGCAGCCAGTCGGGGAGCGGCAGCAGGACAGCGCGGGGAGGAGCTTGGGCCTGCTGACCCAGGTACTTAAACTCGACGGCGGGGCGAGTGCAGGGGGGGGGACGGAGCGGGGAACTGCGACGTCATAGATTAGTTTTCAGGTGAGTGCGCGCGCACAAAAAAAAAACAAAAAAAAAAACCCTCTGCGCCCCCCCCCCCCCCAGGGCTCACATCAGAGCCCACTATGGTCCTGTTGGGTTCGATGCCCCAATCTGCGGGATAATGCCATCCACCTGACCGCTCGCTCCCGGTCCCCGCGTGCGCACTATGGCTGCCGCTTTGACCCGAGCCCCCTCACCCCCTCCCTCCCTCCCCCCTCCTTTCTCCCCCCAAACCCTCCCCCCTCTCCATCTCTCCCGCTCTCTCCTCCTCTCTCTCCTCCTCTCTCTCCGTCCCTCTCGTCTTCTATCCCCACTTGACCCTCCCACAACCTCCCTCTGTTCCAGTCTGGGAATCCTCCGCCGGGCTCACCGCGGCACTCGGCGTTGGCTGTCCAGCAGCAGCCACACCGACTGCCCCATTCCCCACCACACTCGCCAGCCACCCCGGACACAGACCCGGGGAGTCAACCTCTCCTCCCTCATCCCCATCTCCCCCACCCCTGCCTCACAACCTGGACCCCCCTCCCCTCCCACACACCCTTCTGTCAACCGCTCCCTCCACATCGGACTGCAAAATGTCCGCTCCCTCTGCAACAAGGCCCTGGTCATCAACGATCTCATCCTTGATGAGAACGTTGATATCATGGCCTTGACAGAAACGTGGCTCACCCCAGGCGACACCTTCCCCCTCACGGAGGCCACGCCACCCGGCTACACCTCCCACCACATCCCCCGCCCCAACCGCCGTGGCGGTGGTGTTGCCCTTATCTCAAGGACACCACTTGCCCTATCCCCCTACTCCTCTGGCTCTTTCCCCTCCTTCGAGCACCTCACCCTCTCCCACCCCTCATTCCTCTCCCTTAAAATCCTCCTCCTCTACCGGCCCCCTAAAACCTCTCCCACCTTCATCTCTGACATTTCAACACTCCTCACATCTCTTTGCCTCTCCTCTGATCGCCTCATCATCCTGGGCGACTTTAACCTACACTTCACCCCCTCCTGCTCCATCTCCACAGACTTCTCTTCCCTGCTCTCCTCACTCAACCTTTCCCTACACATAAACTCCCCCACTCACAGTCACGGCCACCCACTCGATTTGGTGATCACCCGGGGCCTCAGTGTCTCGGATGTCACTATTACCGACAAGGCCATCTCTGACCACTACTTCATCTCCTTCACCACCTCCACCCCCTCCCCACCTCCACCAGACCCACCACCATCTTCTACCGCCCTTGGAAGAAGTTACCCCCACAATCCCTAACCGATGCCTTGGAGTCCTCTGAACTCCTCTCCCTCTGGCCTTCAACCCTCACCGACCCCTCTTCTCCTCTCTCCCTCCTCCACAATATCCTCTCCTCCACACTCGATACTCTTGCCCCCATCACTTCCCGCACTGTCTCCTACTCCCGCTCCTCCCCCTGGTACACCACCCACCTCCGCTCACTGAAATGCCAGGTGCGGGCTGCTGAACGCACCTGTGTCAAATCTGGCCTAACGGTCCACCGACAAATCTGGCTGGACCTCCTCAAAATTTACCGCTCCACTCTAGCCTCGGCCAAGTCGTCCTTCTACTCCAGGATAATCCTGGAGGCGAAGAACAACCCCAGGCTACTGTTTTCCACCACATCCCGACTCCTCCGTCCCCCCCGCCACCCCGCGCAGGTCATCTCCTCCAACCTTCACTGCGAGGAGATGCTGGATTTCCTTGAATCCAAGATCAAGGGAATCCGCTCCGCGGTCACTTCCCCTCCAACTTCCACCCACCACCCACCCCTTCCCTCCCACACTCCGACTCCTACCCATCCTCCCCTACACACCTTCGTACCCGTTTCCCCACCCTCTGTCACTGAACTCATCCTATCCCTAAAACCAACCACCTGCTCCCTTGACCCCATCCCCACTCCACTCCTTATCTCCCAGCTCCATTTTCTTGCCCCACACATCACTGACATCATAAACCTGTCCCTCTCCTCTGGCTCTGTCCCCATTCCATTAAAAACTGCCATCATCACGCCCACCCTGAAAAAACCCTCCCTTGATGCGTCGCAGCTATCAAGCTACCGGCCCATCTCCAACCTCCCCTTTCTCTCCAAGGTCTTGGAAAGAGTTGTCGCCTCCCAACTGCGCTCTTTCCTCTCCACCCATTCTCTTTTTGAACCCCTTCAGTCAGGTTTCCGTGCTGCTCATAGCACAGAAACTGCCCTGGTCAAGGTCACCAATGATATCCTGACTATCTGTGACCAGGGCTCCCTCTGTCTCCTCGTCCTCCTCGACCTATCGGCAGCATTCGATACGGTCGACCACGCTATCCTACTCCACCGCTTGTCCTCCCACCTCAACCTTCAAGGCACTGTCCTTGAATGGTTTAGCTCTTACCTTTCCCACCGTCTTCACTTCGTCTCAACGAATGGCTTCTCCTCCACCCCCCGTACTGTCTCATGTGGTGTCCCTCAGGGCTCTGTCCTCGGTCCCCTCCTCTTCACCCTCTATATGCTCCCCCTCGGTGACATCATCCGCAAACATGGGGTTAACTTCCACATGTATGCGGATGACACCCAACTCTACCTTTCCTCCTCTACTCTCAACTCCACGACCACCGATGTCCTGACAGCCTGCCTGTCCGACATCGAGTCCTGGACGAGAGACAACTTTCTTCAGCTCAACGTGCGAAAAACCGAGGCCCTCCTGATTGGCTCACGTCAGCGCCTCCGCACCTCAGGCGCTGACACCATCAGCATCCAAGGCTGCACTCTCCACCTCTCAAAGCCAGTCAGGAACCTCGGCGTTTTGTTCGACCCTGAGCTGTCCTTTCTCCCTCACATCCGCACCACAACTGGCACCGCCTTCCATCACCTCCGGAATATCGCCAGATTACGGCACTACCTCACCCCTCACGCTGCTGAAACCCTGGTTCACGCCTTTGTCACCTCAAGGCTGGACTATGGGAACTCTCTCCTCGCCGGCCTTCCCGCCACCTCCCTCCACAAGC